TTTTCCCAATTAATTTTCAAATCATCAATTTGTCTCCATTTCAGGTTGATGACAGGAGGGTGGGATTTTGTCTGAAGCCTCGTCCTAAATATATACACATTCATACAATTATACTACATATCAGAAGGTCCTCCAGAAAGTTAATATTATTTCCAAATTTGGAATGAAAGCATATTATCATAATCTTCAAAGGCCTGGCAATGTATAATGAATAAATTAGTGGAAAAATTTAAAGTCCAAGTATATGTGGGAAAATTGTCTATATAGGAAATATTCTATTCATTTCTGAGACAACCAGTAACTGCCATTATAGATACCAACACTTATCCCTCCCCTGAGACTGATATTATCAGTACACCCAGAATCCTCTTGTACTCTGTAATCTTCTTAAAAGGTCATGTGATTTAAAACCATTTAAAGAAAAATATATATAAAATAAAATAAAATAAAATAAAATAAAATAAAATAAAATAAAATAAAATAAAATAAAATAAATAAAATAAAATAAAATAAAATAAAATAAAATAAAATAAAATAAAATAAAATAAAATAAAATAAAATAAAATAAAATAAAATAAAATAAAATAAATGTTCTGTTATTTGGAGAACAGTGACTGAAATGATGCTGACAGCTTTCTCTCAGATCAGCCCTAGTACTCTTACTCTTTCCTGGGTGAGGAGAGATTGGGAAGAAGTCTTCTCCAGGATGTGCTGTTTAAAAGGACCATGTTTACTCCTGGCTTGCTATCCAACGTAGGGTTTAGGGAACACTGACATTTGGATCTGTATAGGAATTTTGGGCAGATTAAGCAAAGCAGTAGTAGGCAAAATCTTGTTGGCAGATAAGATATTTGAATCTAATGCTCATTACTGTACTTTAACATTGCAAAACCCAGGTAGCATAAAACATATGCATACAGACTTATATGAAAGCTATGTGAAAGTATGTTACCAATATCTAGTGACACAGAGGTACTCCAGGGGAACCACAGAGCATTGCAGCAGAGTCCCAGGAGATGGGAGATGGGCTGACTGCTTTTACTGTACTTCCCATATTTGTAAGAGTTGTTTTCACACTATAGATTATTATTATTTTTAAACAAGATTTTGATTGGCTTCAAAGAGTTTAGTTTGTCTACTTTCCAGGCAGTTAAACTTTCCCATGGCATGGTCTTATATCAAATGCAATTGATGTTGTTTTGTTTCACTCATCTGTTTCATATTTTGAGAATTCATCCTCTGTCTGCACCTATAGTGAACATCTTATATGACTATCTTAAAACAGGATCTTTGTTGGTGTTTTTGGAGTGGAGGAGAAGATTAAAGATCAAGTAATAGAAGTCTTGGAGGTAGTTCTCCAAGGAATAGTTTGTTTTCCCTTTGACCTCCTGTACTGGCTTTACGTGGTAAAGTTTTGATAGCAGAGGGGCTGCAGGGGTGGCCTCTCTGAGCAAATCCCAGCAGCTGTCCCAGGCCAGATCAGAGCCAGCTCCTGCTGGCTCCAAAAAGTACCTGCTGCTGGCCAGAGAAAAGCCAGTAAGTGATGCTGGTTGGGCCTCAGGGAAGGAAGGAAACTGACTGAAGGAAGGAAAATATATAAGTATATATATAAATACATATATAAATATATATATATAAATATATATATATATATATGTTATATTATACATATATATATATATATATATATATATATATACCTGCTACGCTACAGCACCTGGGAGAGAGAAGAGTAATAACCAGCTGTGCAGCAGGGGGGCAGGAGGTGCTCCAGGCACACAGCAGCAGTTCCCCTGCGGCCTGTGGAGAGGCCCCTGGTGGAGCAGGCTGTCCCCCTGCAGCCCATGGGTCCCACATGGGTGGAGGAACCCCCGGTGGAGCAGGTGGATGTGGCCTGGAAGAGGCTGCGGCCCATGGAGAGCCCCTGCAGGAGCAGGCCCCGGGCCAGAGCTGCAGCCCGTGGGGAGGAGCCCACGCAGGAGCAGGGGGTCTGGGGAGAGCTGCTGCCCACCCATGGGGGACCCGTGTTGGAGCAGTTTGCTCCTGGGGGATGGACCCCATGGGACGGAGCCATGTGGGAGCAGGTCTTGAAGAATTGCTGCCTGTAGGCAGCCCCCACAGGCTCAGTTCGGGAAGGATGGCATCCCATGGGAGGGACCCCACGTGGAGCAGGAGAGTGACCGTGAAGGAGTGGCAGAGATGAAGCATCAGGGACTGACCATAGCCCCCATTCCCTGTTCTTCTGTGTCAGGAGGTGAAAGAGGATGATGGGGTGAAGGAGTTTTACGTTGCTTTAGTTTCTCACTACTCTAGTCTACTTGTGATAGGCAATAAATTAATCTCCGTATGCTGAGTTTGATTTCTTTGTGACAACGATGGTCGAGTGACCTGCCTGTCCTTACCTGAACACTTGAACTCTTTCCATTGTATCTCCCCCATTCCCTTGGAGGAGGGGGAACGATAGAGCAGCTGTGGTGGAGTTCAGCTGCCCAGAACTGTAAAACCACACCTCCACACTGCTTGGAGAAATGAACTCTTTAGCTTGGGAGTCTAGAACCAGACTAGCATGTTCATTAGGCTCAAGCCAATTGGTTTCATAGAATCATAGAATCATAGAATATCCTGAGTTGGAAGGGACCCTTAGGGATCATCAAGTCCAACTCTTGACACCGCACAGGTCTACCCAAAAGTTCAGACCATGTGACTAAGTGCACAGTCCAATCTCTTCTTAAATTCAGTCAGGCTCGGTGCAGTGACCACTTCCCTGGGGAGCCTGTTCCAGTGTGCAACCACTCTCTCTGTGAAGAACCCCTTCCTGATGTCCAGCCTAAACTTCCCTGCCTCAGCTTAACTCCGTTCCCACGGGTCCTGTCGCTGGTGTTAATGGAGAAAAGGTCTCCTGCCTCTCAACACCCCCTTACGAGGAAGTTGTAGACTGCGATGAGGTCTCCCCTCAGCCTCCTCTTCTCCAGGCTGAACAGGCCCAGTGCCCTCAGCCGTTCCTCGTACGTCTTCCCCTCCAGGCCTTTCACCATCTTCGTAGCCCTCCTCTGGACACTCTCCAACAGTTTCATGTCCTTTTTATACTGTGGTGTCCAGAACTGCACACAGTACTCGAGGTGAGGCCGCACCAGCGCAGAGTAGAGAGGGACAATCACCTCCCTCGACCTGCTAGCGATGCTGTGCTTGATGCACCCCAGGACACGGTTGGCCCTCCTGGCTGCCAGGGCACACTGCTGGCTCATATTCAACTTGTTGTCTACCACGACCCCCAGATCCCTCTCTTCTAGGCTGCTCTCCAGCGTCTCATCGCCCAGTCTGTATGTGCAGCCAGGGTTTCCCCGTCCCAGGTGCAGGACCCGGCACTTGCTCTTATTGAACTTCATGCGGTTGGCGATCGCCCAGCTCTCCAACCTATCCAGATCCCTCTGCAAGGCCTTTCCACCCTCATTCGAGTCCACAACTCCTCCAAGTTTGGTGTCATCAGCAAACTTGCTCAAAATGCCTTCTATTCCTACATCCAGATCGTTTATAAAAATATTGAAAAGTACCGGCCATAAAATGGAGCCTTGAGGGACCCCACTAGTGACTGCCCGCCAGCCTGACGCAGCCCCATTCACCATAACCCTTTGGGCCCTGCCCATTAGCCAATTGCTCACCCATCGTATGATGTTTTTATATAGCTGTATGGTGGACATTTTGTCCAGTAGGATCCTATGGGAAACCGTGTCAAAAGCCTTGCTGAAGTCCAAAAAAATCACATCAGCTGGTTTCCCTTGGTCCACCATACGGGTGATCTTATCATAAAAGGAAATCAGGTTAGTTAGGCAGGACCTACCCTTCACAAACCCATGCTGGCTGGGACCAATGACTGCTTTGTCCCCCAGGTACGCCTCAATACGTTCGAGAACCATCTTCTCCATGATTTTACCAGGCACTGACATGAGACTGACAGGCCTGTAATTGCTAGGGTCTTCTTTCTGACCCTTCTTGAAAAAAGCGCAGTTGCCAAGGATGCTTAGGACTGTACATTTGAGATAGACATACATAAAACTGGGTCAGTCTACATGGCAAAATCACGGGTTTGTATTTTCTGTGTGGATAGGAGAAGCTAGTAAGTGTGCATGACTTTCCAAGCACAGAATGAAGGAGAGAAGCCAGGGCATTTGGTCCCTACCACAGCATGCTGTAGCCAAAGAGTCACTGCAGGAGGAAGATGTTTGATGGCGGTGTAAAATTCTCTATAGTGTGGTGAGAATGTCTGAAGATGGCAACAATTGTCATCGTTTTCGAATTGCCTTAAAAGAATAATCCATAACATTTCTTTCAGAGAAGTATCACATTGTTTAAAATTAGAGCTGTGGGAACTCTGTGGGGAAAAATCTGCCTGGCAAGGAACTTGCATTTGATTTTTGTTGTTGTTGTTGTTGTTGTTACTTTTTCTTTAAAAAATTGAAAATCTCTTTCAACTTTGTGAAGCTGAGCACAACCACAGTAAAGTCCATAGAAAATTCAGCTGCCAAATTAAAATAATGAATCTTGTGCTCATAGTGCCAAGCAATTGGTCTTAATATTTTTTGCCACCATTGTGATCATATGCAATGGAAGAACTGCGGTCATTGCAACTCATGACCTTCAAGTTTACTTTGCCCCCCCCCACCCCACCCCCAGGTTTTATTTATTTATTTATTTATTTATTTATTCCTAGCACAACTCTGAAAGTACTTCATTTTCTGTGCTATAAGCCAAGGCTAAGTGAGAATGTTGAATTGGGTTTTCTTGCTGGTGACTGAAATTTTCAAAACAATTGCCCACTTCCTCTGAGTTGTTGCTCTGTTGAGCACTTTTCCATGATGAGCCTTAATTTAATTACATTGCTTAAATTATTCAAGTATATTAAGCATAGCATCTTTGCCAAATAAGGATGGTGGTACTGCATGTAAAATAATTTGTTTCAGTATCAGAATCTTAACATTTCCATTTTCAATGTCTAATCACAGATCTTCAACCACAAAAGCCACCAGAATTCACAAAGGTAGGTAGCATATAAAGCTCGTTCTGTATTTTCTTCCTTCCCTTCCCTTCCCCCTTCCCTTCCCTTCCCTTCCCTCCTTCCCTTCCTTCTTCCCTTCCTTCCCTTCCCTTCCCTTCCCTTCCTTCCTTCCCTTCTTCCCTTCCCTTCCCTTCCCTTCCCTTCCCTTCCCTTCCCTTCCCTTCCCTTCCTTCCCTTCCCTTCCCTTCCCTTCCCTTCCCTTCCCTTCCCTTCCCTTCCCTTCCCTTCCCTTCCCTTCCCTTCCCTTCCCTTCCCTTCCCTTCCCTTCCCTTCCCTTCCCTTCCCTTCCCTTCCCTTCCCTTGTTTTACTCTAACAAATCCTCAGAAATCCATTACTTATGACGGGAAAGTGATATAGGTTAAAACAGCAACAACAAACTCAAAACAGAAAAAGTAGAATTTTAGACACATTTATTAAGTGTCTTGGTAATGGTATATCCTGAAGTGCTCTGCACCATCTTCAAAATAATTTTTGGCAAATTGGCTGTTGCTCAACATTCAATAAATTTTGTTTCCTTTCTCAATTAAGTAACAGATTATGACATTCACAATAGGCAGGGCAAGTTTGCCAAAATGCAATCAAACACTCAATTGCAGCCTTTCTTGGGCCATGTTTTGGAAGGGTGTTTCTGCTGGAGAAAAAGATTCAGCATTGTTTTGACAGATCCACACTAATGTGAAAAATCTGGCTCATGGAACCATGATGCCTGCTTGCTCAATGCCTAGTATAGCTTCCTAGCTGTAGAATAAAAATAGCAGGACTTGGCTATATATATGGAAATACAAATTGCCATGATGGAGGAAATCTTTCTGCGTTGGCGGTGTTGTTTTAAATTCTCTTATTAGTGGTTTTTATCACAGCATGAACATCAAAAAGGCATTGGTCTTTTATTTTAAGGGGAGGAACTGAAATGTAAATGGTGATACCATCTAAAACTGCTGCAAGCTGTCTGCTAAGCAAAAGGCAACTGCTAAGCAAAAGGCAAAACTGCATATGCAGGATTCTAATGTTAGACGCATACATTCTCATCTCTGTTTTGGCATTCTGGTGAGTGTTCTCAGCATTCAGAGTGCTGAGAATCTTCAGATGGCAAAAAGATAAATGGAAACTACATTTCAGAATGTGAACACTTGGATGCCAAAATTCATCTGTTCTGTCTTAGCTACCTGAAGAGAGAAAATTAATGTAGATCATCTTTTGGTAGTATGTGAAAAGAAAGATACTTTGCTGAGATAAACATTTGGTTATGCTCAGGTAATTTGTTGTCTTTATCTCATTTATATAAGTCCAGTAGGTAAAGTTTCAAATGTAATTTTTGTCACAGTACTAGGGCTAGAACAAAATGGAATTTACATTGTATTCTAGGAGAATGAATGAATTATATTCCTTTTCACTCTCATAAAGTGTCTAGTGTAGAAAAAAATCTCCAGAAAATTTTTCTAACCCCTAAAAATAACTGACTGCTACCTACTGTGAAAATTATGAAGTGATTTATTACAGATCTGTCCCCCTCATAATATGCTGACCTGCTTAAAATATATCCAAATGCTCTAAGATGAAGGAGGCATAATGTACCTGTATTTGTCATGGAGAATGTTGTTCAAATGCATTTCTACCAAACGAGTAAGTTAAATAACTGCAGAAATGCCCTGGGATTTCATATTTGCTATTAGGTTCCACAGAGTAAACACTCAGGTGGTGAAAGGAGAAATTAAACCCTTCTCCTATCTTGTAATGCCATAGCTTTAAAATGAGAATGCATTTTGCAAAGTTCAGCAAGTCATATATTTTGGTTCCATATTATAGAAAGCACTGGGAAATAAATATGCAAATCATCTGATTCCCATATTCATACAAGCTCCCAGGCATGGAAAGTGATTCTTTCTTCCATCAATTTCCTGTTTTGTGGTCTACCACCAGCTAAATCACAGATACATTTTGCCTCAATCCTCTGAATAAACATTCTTCACATTCTTGGAGAGAAGAGATGCCAAAGAGGCAGGATGTGAGAGTGATGTTCATATGGAAGGGAGAGCAATGCATACGTAGTCAGTAAGGGAAATGTATGGTATCTGATGTAGAGGACCAAGCAGATTCCTCTGTCTCCTGTGTATATGACAGATCCAAATGGATTCCATCAGGTGATAGAAGCAGGCCTGAACACCCAGTTGTCCCAGATTGCCCTCTAGCCTTCCACAAACTCAAGACAGAGAAATTTTGTATTCACATCTTTTCCCCAACACACCAAAATTTTGGGGGACTGCTAAATATTGGTGATTTTAAACGTCCTCCAATATCCCTTTAGATAACTTTGATTAAAATGCATTGGAGGTATTTTGGTGTGGCAAAGAAAATTCTGTCAATTTAAACTACAACCTCCAAACTAAATAATTAGATACATGTCTCCCTGGCACTGTTCTGCATAGATGAATCTGTAGACTCCAGCAGGCTTAACACAGTTGCAGTAAATAACCACAATAATGATAAACTAAAGCAAATAATATTTTCACTGAAAAATCTTTTTTAAAGTTTTTTTCCTCTGTCATCTCACCACTGCCATAGAAATGTTATATTCTTAAATAATGTGCAAGACTACATACTAGCTATGCCCATGCTGAGAAAATAGGCATTAAAAGTAACCTTTGACTTTTTGAAAACAGCTCTTTCATTATATCTTAACAGCCTAATAAATTATTCTCTATCAGGGAATTGTATTTTGGCTTGGAAACACTGACCTTGCAGACCACTACATAAATTAAGATGCAAGAGTAGTTTGCAAATCCAGTCTTCTAATGTGCCCAGTTTATACCTCTGATCAGAAGATAACAATGTGGCCATTTCAAGCACAAGAGAAAAATGGAAAATCTCTGTTTCGTTTGAGGCAACAGTAACAGCTTGTACTACTAAATAGATGTTTGGCGATTGAGTGGGTACTGTTGTTCCTGAGGCATATCTGAATCAGGACAGAGACTGTAAGAACAGAAGAAGGAGGGTTACAGGTAAAGAACAAAAGCCATGGGAAAACAAGTGAATCCTTAATATTTATGATAGACAACACCACTTCTCTGCAGTTAGTATATGACACACAATACTTTTAAGGGGTGGCTAAGTAGCAGCATGGAAGGAATTTGCATTTTTTTCCTAGCTGCTTTTTAGCATATTCATGTTGCCTGGGTGGGTGGGGGGACGTGCTAGAGTCCAGAGCACAAGAGACGTTACCAACAGATACTCTGCAGTATACAGCATGAATACAGTCCAAAACTGTGAATCCATTCTACAAATATGCAGGATAGGAACAAATTATACTACAAGAGGATCACCTTCTGCTCTCTTTCCAGAGCAATGTCTGGTCCCCTCAATATATTTAATTCCTCTTCATTTTCATAATATAATTCCCATGTTCTCATGCAACCTTCTGTATACGATTCAACCATGCAACTTGTTTTTCAGGGCATAGTAAAACTTTTTTTCATGTAGTATACATAATTCATATAGCTTGCTTCTCTGCAAATGGTTCTACAGTGCAGCAAGCATGTTTGTGCACTATACCTCATTTCTGGTGTCCTGAAAGACATCTGCATGAAGGTGTACATTAGTAAAGCGAGACTGATATTGATAAAACTTATTTAAAATGTTGTCACATGTCACAGAAACCTTTAGGAGAAGCAAAAGCATTCTGTAGATGTACCCATATTTTTCCCAGAGTAGGACCCAAGATAGTAGTAGATAAACAGTAAGCACGACTTCTTTATATCAGTTTTTGAGGGTATCTCTGCAATTATGATCAGAAAATACACATACTTATAGTATTCCAAAACATCCTGATTTGAGATCTAGTTCTTCATGTTTAGTCCTGGCATCTCATGAAATCATATCTGCTTATATGTGAGGCCAACCTTGACTTTATGATGCAGAATATGGAAAATAATATCTACTGATGTGAGAGAATATGAAAGACTGTAATATCCTATTTTCTTATTTCCAATCACCAGCCACACCCCTGCCCAGGAAAAGCAAAGCTAATGTCAATAGGTGGACAGGAATGGATGACCAATGGTCTCAAATGCCATAGAGGAATCTCCAAAAATGAACTGGCATGTGTATCCTTTTATCCTTTGTCTTATAGAAAAGAGCAAAAATAACAGCTATTTTTTGTAGTTCAGAAGATTTGTGATGACCATCAATTAGGATAGATATGGGGCTTGGGGTTTTTATACCCTAATTTTTCTTTTTGTTGTTCTCTATCACTTCTGGCATATCTTCAGAGCACATTGCTAGTTCTGAACCAAAAGGGAACAGGAAATGTATAATTCTTGGATACAGAAAGTTATATATAGCCTGCTTAGTCCTCACATTCCTTTGTGTAGTATGTGTTTCATCTTGCAGAGTAGAACGTTATGGTATATCATCTATCAACACAACATTAATGTATTTTAGTTTTTAGACTGTTGTTTTAAGTTAGGATTTTTTATTTTATTTTATTTTACTTTTTTTTTTTTTTTTTTAATAGAAGTTGTCCCCTAAGGAATTTATGACTTATTGGGAAAAAAAAAAAAAAAAATGCACTCTGAGTTCTCCACTTGGCAGTTAATATGGTCAAATAAAAACTGGAGGACAAGTTAATAATTGCCAGATCTTGTATAAAGCTTAATCCTGAAGACAATTCCTTGTCTTTACTTGAAATCATTTTTTATAAGTGAATCTTGAAGTTCATTTTTGCAACTGAATCTAAAAAATTACTGACTCAAAGCAAAAGTTCAAATTCTGTTTGCTTTAAGTAAGCAGTATAGTCACTGGGCAAAACATGCAAATGTCGTTTGCTAAAAAAAAAAAATATTTTTTTTTTTTCCTCTGTTAAGTACATGTTTATTATATATATATATATAAAGAGGCAACTATGTAATCTATTATTTAGATATTATAGTCACTGCACAGCTCACATCTTACCACACTGTTGTCTTTTCTGCTTTGATAAATTCAGTTCAAAAATAGGAAGAAGCTGGGTGAACGAAGCCTGAACAAATTACATTACATCGATGGATTTCACATGGAAAACAGCGAGAAAAATGTGCAGCCACAAGGGTGTCTCTTTTGGTGGAAGTACCTGCCCCTGTTTGGTCAGTTCATAAATTCTCTGGGGTTATTACAAGATGCAAAATACTTGTGTAGCTGTATTAATGAGTAGAGCGGTATGATATCTTTTGTTAGACAATGACCCATTCTGGATCTCAGTGACCCCTATTAATGTATTCTTACTTCCTTCACATCTTGGCTACATTGCAGCAATTGTGATATACTGCAGTAAGAGCTTCCAGCTTTCTGTAGGAAGCTCCATCCAATCAAGAATGTTTGGAGCTGTCTTCTCAAAACACAGTTATGGGCCATAAATTCTGTTGCTCATAGCTGTGTTAATAGAAAAGTAGACATACTTTGTCCTTCTCAAGCAAAGACATATTTAATAAAGTCCATTGGCATCTTTTACACTAACAAAATGAATGTTTTGTTAATGAACATACAACAAATTATTACTGGGAAAAAGAAAAAAAGAAAAAAAGAAAAAAAAAGAAAAAAAAAGCATAATTTACAGCATTTAATCACCCTCGATGAAGGCGTTTTTTTTTTTTTGTTGTTGTTTGGTTGGTTGGTTGGTTGGTTTTTAATATATCATATGAGAAATTCCAATGCTGCAACTTGTGTCCCTTTCCCATCTTCTCACCATGCTCATTGGAGAAGAGTCTGATTCACCCTTCTCTATAATGACTGATTAGGTAGCTGAAGACCAGGTAGCTGAAGACATCAACTAGTTCAGGCTGAACAAAACCAGCACTCCTTTGGGAGGAACTACAGAGGTGTCTGTACAGGTGGTGAGGAAGCAGAGTCCTTGGGCACATGATACACATGTAATACACCAAAATATCTACCTAGTTGCGACCATAAGTTTATGCAGGTAGTAACTCATGATGGCAGTAATTTGTAAAATTCTTGATCATTGTTGCTTTTCATGCACAAGACATCACTGAGTTTGTCTATGTAAGACTTTTTCTGATAAAGCAGAAGATAAATACAAGCAAACAGCACTAATAGACGTGACAGGTGAATGAAGGTGTGTAAATTAATTGCAATAACAAATCTGCCTGTGTGCACTTTATAAAGACCTTCTTCATGCCAAACAAGTAGTACATGAGATTCGCCTGAAGCACAGGCTCTATCCAAGCAGGCAGTACTGTTAATTCTGGAGATTCTTAGTCCAGTTCTTAGGGTGTTGACCATAGTGGCAACAAAAGCATCATGCACACTTAGAGAATAGGAAAGCCTCAAAACAGTTGTGAGATTCTTTCCACAGGATTTTATCTATTGGTCACTTATGTTCAAGAAATAAAGAAATAAGTTTCTTTCCTGGCTATGGGGAACCCCATATATGTTCTTTTTTTTTTTTTTTTTCACTTGGATTGTACATGTTAGAATGGATTTATCCCTTAAATATTGAATCACTGTAACAGAGTATTTTTATTATTAATTTATCCCGCACAACGAGAACTACCAAAACAAAGAAAAGGCATCAGAAAATGCTAGTTCTGGTAATAATTTACTTAATGTGCCATTAAGTAACAGGAAAATTGAACAATGAAAAATATAAAAAACATAAAATTTTCCCCAAAATATTCTAAATCATCTCTTCAATGGATAGGAGATTTTACCCTTTTAAGGCAAAGTAGGATATATTTCTTAAAGGAGAAATAGTCAATCTGTCAACTTCTTTCAACATCTTATTTTACATTATTTTGAGAGGTGAGACTTCCTGATATCACTATGTTTTGAGAAAGAGCAGGTGCTAAATACTATCTCTGAGTTAAAAGTAGCATGTAAGAAAATTGAGATAGGCACCTTAATTCTTTTTTTGATTCCATTTGAGGATGAAAATGTTCTAAACAATCTAAGTGTGAATTTATACTGATCACAACCAAATTCTCAAAAACTATTTTTAAGAAATGATTCTGCCACCCACCCTCCACCGAACTAAAATGAGTTCTTTACATTTGAGCTAATGTGTTATGCCAGGCTTGAATCCAATGTAAATTCATTCAGGTTAGAAGCCTTCACTAAGGGGTTTAGTAATAAACACTGACAGAAACAGATCTCGTTATAATTAACTCTCAGGCATTATATAACATCAAAGGTATATCTGGATCCTTCAATAGAAGTTTTGTCTGAAGTATATCTATTATGTGTGTGTTTAGTACAATCTTTTATCGCTCTTCAAGAATACTACTTTGGCTTTGGATGAGTATTTGGCAGGATGTTTTATTGTTATAAGTGCATTCACAACTGACATAAATTACTATAATAAATGTTCCATCATTTCCCCTTTGGGTATAGGGGAAAGAACCAATATCTGTGTTTCTGTGCTGCGTTATGTAAAAAAAGTTAGATAATCACAAATGGGTGTTGGAAGAGTTCACAGTAGTCGTACAATGGCTTTCAATATTGTGCTGCCTTGCATGCTTGGATTCCCCACAGTGGCTTTAGTGCATTGGATTGGTATGTGAGGGCTACAAGGAAGAGCACCCTCATTTATTCTCCTCCACATTTACAGATCATGCAACAGGAATATTAGGCATTAATGGTTGGGCTGAAGTGGTTGCTTGAGTTCTGATCTGCTGAGCCCTCCAGACTTGTTTCAGCCACATGGCTAAAATCAAACTGAGGAATAGTTCATTGAATTCAGCACAGCTATCTCGACTAGCATAATGGAGCATCCACAGTGTTCAGGCAATTTGGACAAATTAGATCTTCAATAAAAGGGTTATGAAAAAGGCAGGAGCAATCAGGATAAAAAAATAATGAAGGTTGTTGGACAGGAAATAAGATGAGTTTTGGCTGATGTAGAGAAGGACTGAACATTGGTCTGATCTGAGAAGGGACACATGTTAAAGAAAGAACTGGCAAAAACTATATTGGTTCAACCATGTGATGGGAATTGTGAATGTAAATATGGAGTGGCTGAAATCTGAGCACACGATGCCTGTATCTGTGCTAAAATACAAAAGATTTGGCAGATGGGAAAAGATGCTGACTGACAGCCCCTCCTGTAACAGAACAAAAAATTGCACACTGTTCTCCACTGGTAGAAAACCCACTTTTTATCTGCACTTCATTAAGGAATACTGTGTTGAAAAGGAAAGCATATTTATAGCTGCATTTCCATAGAATAAAAATGTTAGCAACAACAAAACTTGACTAGCTTCCCTGGTATTTAGGACACATCTGATTTGTGGGGCGTTGGCTTGGTTGTTTCATGGGGGAAGAGCTTATATGCAAGACTGGATGTGTATGGTAGGAATGGTAAACACTCACAGAAATATTAACACCAGGTATATTCTCATGCAACCACAGAGTCAGCTTGTTCGGGTAGTTCAAGTGGCTGAAAAGTAGCCTGACAACAATAAAAAAGGAAACAAATCAACACCCTGATTTGGTTTATGTTGCAACTGCATGAAGGCTGTTGCTGGCATACAGGGAGGGTGCGGCCATATGGCATCCAAGGCTTAGCTTGGTTTAAACTTTGATGGCAACAGTTTCAGTGACAAACTTGTGGACAAAATAACAGATACTCATAGCATCACAGTCCTCTGCAGAGAAAAAAAAGTTGTATTTCAGTCATGTAAAAATGTATTTAGGTGTGCATTGAATTAGTAATGCATGGCTTTTCAGGAAGAATGCATATCATGCCTTATAACCGGCACTAAACATTCAAAAACCAGTATATAGATTTTATTCTGAGATGCTTTCTTATGAAAGTGTAGTACTCAAGGTGGTTGGAAACTAGAATTACCTTTCTGTGGGTAGTTCAGATGCTACAAAACCTTTTTTTTTTTTTTCTTTTCTTTATATATGTGTATATATATATATATATATATATAATTTAAGCTGGAAAAGAGAGTAAAGATTTTCCAGTAAAAAAAAAAAAAAAAAACTTTCAAACATTAAAATTTATGATCCCCTGGAGCATTAGGTTTTGAGAACATCAAGCATCAAGTGAGGAAGACAATGTTCAACAATGAAGCTTCAGCAGGATAAAAGCTGTTCATTTTTA